TGCTATATATCTAAGGAAAACAATGACTTAAAAATACACTTAACTTAGAGAACAGTGCAATGAATGATATAATTCACTCCAGAGAATAATCATCCAGCCGAGTTTCAAAGTGCCAGAGACACAAATTACTATCTTGGGTACATGCTAGAGTTGCCTCTTTGTCCAGTCACCAGAAGATACTGTGGAAAAATAGCTTTCTGTATATTAATAATATATAAATCATAAAACTATCTCCATGCTAGGGTTAGGGATTTGAAGGCTTGGAGAACAGATATCTCGGGGCTTAAAATGAGATTAGTGGTTTTCAAAAACCCATTTAAGTTATAGCTGTCATTTGTGAAAACATCAGAAGGCAACTGTGTTGAAATGGAAGGACATAGATCACAGACTGTCCTGCAGGAGACTCTAAAGTACTTGTGACTTCCCTAATCCTTAGGGTGTGTTTCACATATGCCTCAAAGCAAAGAGAAGTTCCTCCAAGATAGAGGTGTTGCCAAGACAGACGGTCTTGTTATTTGCCCAGCCCGTTGCCACAAGGTCAGCTGGATCACCTGAATGCGAACAGAAAGTGGTTTCTTACAGTACTTACAGTTTTCAAAGTTTAATACCTCCTGTTGTCCGCCTTCACCCCAAACTAGATACGTGTCCAAGCTGTGGCATATGTATGGATGCAGGACTAATCCAACTCCAGCAGTGAGGAGTGGCAGTGCTACTCTGGTTTCACTGACATCCATGTGTGGAACTGCCCTGGTAGCCAAAACACAGCTCTTGAATCCAAGCTCCTTCGGGCCTTCAGGCATCCCCAGTCTGGGCCTCTGAGGGTATCCGAGTCTAGGTGGTCAGTAAAGCATGGGTCTAGCTTGCCTGCAAGACCACCCTGTGGATGTGTGCCTGAAAAGTCACCTCAGCCCACGCCCTAGAGTGGAATAAACAGGGGCAGCCTGAGCAGTCACAGCATCCTGGCCAAGCTCTTCTGCTTGTGTGGCGCAGGCAGCGGGACACGCTTTTGCCACATTGCCAATTGCTAACGCCACAGTTAGGCACGTTGCAGACAATTTGATCACGTGCTATATAGCCTGTCTGGGACCGGTCAGTGACGTGTGTTACTGCGGCGGGTCGACCCCGGCCAGCAGCCAGATGCCCACGCAGCCGCTTTCTCACTCCCCTCCTCAACAGGGTGGGGAGAGAAAGTAAGATGGAAAAGCTTGTCGGTGGAGATAAAGGCAGGGAGATCACTTACCAATTACCACCACAGGCAAAACAGACTCAACTTGGGGAAAATTAAATTACTACCAATTAAAATAGACTCAGATAGTGAGAAACAAAACCAAAAATTAAACCAACACCTTCCCCTCCCTGTTTTTTCTGGGCCCAAAGTCACTCCTCCCTCCTGACTCTGCTACCCCCTCCCGCCACCAGCTTGGCTGACAGGCTCAGCCGCGCCCTGCGGTGGGTCGGCTGGAACCGGCTGGAACCGGCTGGAACCGGCTGTGTCTGGCACAGGCCTCCGCTCAGAGGACCCCTGCAGCCCCCTGCCACCGGCACCCCGTTGTGCCTGAGTACGTGCAGCCGTCCCGAGACCACCGAGCGACGCCGAGCAGGCACTCTCTGAGCCCGGCCGTGCTGGAGCAGCGGGACGAAGACAGGGGGAGAGGCCTGGCCCCCAGGTGAAGGTAAGCACAAGGATGAAACAATCCATAATGCACAAGCTCATCTGCCACTAGCTCAGTGCAGCAAACTTAGCCATCGGACTTCGATGAGTCCTGGAGCTAGAAATCATGGCGGAGGTGCTTTCCCAGCACAGGCTGTTCATGCCAGCCTGACTGCTGTGCCGTCACGTTTTTCCTAGCTGGGCCGCGGACACACAACCCTTACAGAGGGCATGGCAGGCTCTTCCTCAAAAAAGGGGAGAGGATACGAGCTTTGACAGCAGACCGTGAAAGAGCCTGTAGCAGATTTCGGTATTGAGAAGGCCGGGGTTCACAATAGAGAGCAAGAGAAACTGGTGGCATTTTACGTCAGTGCACTGCCCCGACCCGAACCTTCAGCTTCCCAGTCACTAGAGCATTGGACATTACAAGATGTTCTTTGCTACAGTATTAACTACCCAAATGGGATTCAGGTGGACTTTGTCAGGATTCCCATCCCAGATGGGATCCCAGCAGTTGGTAATGTGCTTTTATTTTGAATCAAAATAAAGAGTCAAAACCTGGATATCTCTTAAGAATCAGATTGTCAGGGTGCAGTGGGGGCCAGAGGCTCCTGAAGGGTCAGGGAGCCAGGCGTCAAGCACAAAAACACAACTGCCAGAGCAGGGTCCTTGTCAGCCGGGACCCAGCTAGAAGTGCCAAGTGAGGTGGGGTGAACAGGGCAGACCCAGAGATGGAAGCCAGATTCAGCCAAGACAGACTCCTCATCATGAGGCAAATTTGTGGTGATAAGAAGTGAATCTGCAGATCAGGATTAGGATCACGTTCAGTGACAGTTGCCAGTGTCACACCGTAGGAGCACTAGGTAGGTCCAGAGTGAAGCAGTCACTTTGAGAATACCAAATTGTCTCATTTTGATTCAGTAAAACCACTTGATTGCAATAAATGCAAAACAAGAGAAAACATCTCTATGTGTTTAACAGGCAAACACAATAATGTATTAACACAGATGTAATGTCCAAAATAAGAAAGATGTAATGAAGCATT